AGAAAGAAATTATTATAATAAAAATACAAAATTAGCAGAAGAACAAAGGAAATTAGTTAATCAAAATTATTCAAAGGATAAAACACAGTATCATAGTATTGATGCTACTGATTATAGTTATGATTGAGCCCAAAATGTTCATGTGTCACATTTAGATCAACAAGTAAAATTTATTGCCTTAGTCCATGTAAAGTTCATTTATTTGGTATTCAAAATGAAGCAGTAAGCGAACAAATTAATTATGTTCTTAATGAAAATGAAATCATAGGAAAAGGTCCTAATGATACACTTAGCATGATTTTTGATGGAATTAAGAAACTGAATAAAGGTGAAAAGCATTTAAAAATTACTTGTGACAATGCTGGGGGACAAAATAAAAATAATGTAACAATTTGGTTCTATTTATATTTGGTAATTTGTGGTTATTATGAAAGTATTGAATTAAATTTCATGATTGCTGGGCACACTAAATTCAAATGTGATGGTAGTTTTGGTTTAATAAAAAAACTCTACAGAAAAACAAGAGTAGATTGTCTGGTTGATGTAGTAAAAAGATCTAGCCCAGCAGGATTAAATAAAGCTCAATGTTATGAAGGTGGAAAAGGATTTCAATATTTAGATATTAAAAGCTATTTTGGGAATTTATTTCAAGAAATTACCAAGTATACAAAAATATCAACATTTTCTTTTTGAAGCATCTAATTTGGTGTGGTCAAAGCTCAGGAAATTGCTAATGGTGTGTTGTGTCAAATGGCTGGTCCTGGGACAAAACTCGAATTTTCTGAGCCAAATTTTATATAGTTTATAGCTACAATGTCTCCCAGAAGCTTATTTCATAGTTTTCAATATCTTTTTTCTGTATATCCACATGGACTTGTATGTTAAATAATCACATTTCTAACATTGCTTGAACGTATAATTAGAATTTTTTTCGCATCAATAAATTTATGAGACAAAGTCTCAAGTCTTCGACTCTGAGATATGTATTTTAAGACTATTGATTTATAATTCAATAAAAAATCGAAGTCATTCACTACCTACGGGTACGTATTACTTTACCGACAATCATTTTACCGACAGTTCATTTTACCGACAACACACACGCGCCATTTTAGCATTTTATTTGTTGTTTGATATGTGGAGGTTAAATGGCGCACCGCGTGTTGTCGGTAAAATGAACTGTCGGTAAAATGATTGTCGGTAAAATGAATGCCTCCCACTACCTACATATCACCTTATGTGCTATCCACAGAGGTGGTGGGAATAATGAAAATACATAATAATATATTTTGATATCCTCTCTAATGAGTATTTTTTGTCATCTCACAAGAAAACATCATAACTGTTTGATTTTAGATTTGTTATTTTTGAGACTTACATGCTGTTTTGAAGATTCATCACTCCAGAAACCATGTATTTTTTCTAATCTATCTTTTTCATCTCTGTGAATAGCACCTGATACCTTACCAACTTCCTCAATAAAATTGACAATTTCCTTTTCACAAAGATTTGTCCATTCACGAGCCTCAACACGCTTACATAAAGCAGTAAAGATTGTTATAGCGGTAATGGGTGTAAAGGAAACCAAAAATTCTTCCATTTTCAAATAAATAATCAAAGGTTGAGATAAAATTGATATATGGATCGATATAAGAGTGTAAAAAATCGCAAATAAAAGGCAATGAATATTCATAAATTGATATACTGTCCTTTTTAAACGTTTCCTCTATTTCTTCCTCTGGATCCATCGAATAATGTGAATAATGCAGAGAAATAAAGCAAAAGAATATATTTACGCCAAAAATTTCTCTCAAAAATGAATGTAATGAGGTAATTACGAATTTGATTAATCGCACAAATAAATCATGCATGCATTATTATTATTATGATCAGTTAGTACGCATCGAAATTAAGAATAATTTTTACACGTCATACTGATCTAATCTAATTTCTTTCGTCAACATGAACTTATTAAAAGCTCATCCTTTCCTGTTTCGCACGCGCTCTGTTGTGTTGCCAATTAGCCTTTTCCAACAATTTCAAGTCAGAAAATCTAGATCTCATCAACTAGTAATAATCCGATCTTGTAGCAGTGCTCAAGGAAAGGAAAGCACAAGGTAAGAAACGTTAATCCAGTTAATTTGTATTTCCACAATCTCAATATTCATTATTGCTTTTATCAGACAAGTAGAAAAAATACCAAAAAATTATTGGAATTTATTCAAGATCCATCTAAGAAAGTAGGTTGAGATTTTTTATTAAGCTTTACCAGTAATTTCATTTTAACTGATTTTTTCTTCTAGTCAGCAAGAAATAAAATTTTATCAACCGTTGGCATTGGCCTTGTGTTTTCATATTTGTACTTTATCCACGAAAGTCCCAGAGTCCGGGATAGAAAAATGGTTGATGTTTTCAAAAAGGAAAAAATCCATCCAGAGGTCAATCCACCTATCTCAAAAAAACTGGTCAAATGTGAGAATCTTGAAAATGATCTGAGGAAATTTTTGCAACGCTCTTTAAATAGTAGGTACTTTCTGATTTTGGGCGAGCCTGTAACAGGAAAATCAACCTTGATTCAAAGTACCATCTTGTATCTCCAAGAGCCAAAGGTAAATCGTTCAATGTTTTCTTCCCTTTTTCGATTGATAGGGTGTCATTCACTTTGTGTGTCCTTCAAATGTGAAAGAATTTGCAAAGAATTTGGCAGAACATCTGAATTGTGAGTTATATCCATTTAAGTTGAGAGATATTGTCGTGCCCAATGCAATAAGAAAAGGTACCATGTGTTTTTTTTTTGTACTTCATAGCAATTCACTTCGCATTCATGCTCACAAAGGCTCCATCTGCTGTAGAACAAGATAACCATTCAGAATACTCTAATTGGAATCTCTTAAGCATGCAACTTCTCAATACTGCACGTAACTATATGAAAAAATACAACGCCCGATAGTTTTGATTCTTGAGCAAGTAGACCGCATTGCTATGAATGACCAAAAGTTTATTGAGATACTCCAAGATTTTGCAAAGGACTGTGCGGATGAAGGTTCTCTTATCGTTGTATTTATTGCAAGTGAAGGCTTGGTTCCGCAAATTATGAGATATAGGGATGATATGATTTTAATATTCTGCTATACATGGCTGAGTTCTTATTAAATCTCATTCCTATTATTTACAGCTCGCTCTTCCCGGTATGATTAAAGCATTTCTCAGTGTCTGTTTTAGATTGATTCAGACCTTTCGGTTGGAATGACTCTTCCTTGGTTGGGTCAAGTGAATCAGACAAAGGATTAGATTTACTTGATTCAGAGGAGTTGGAATCGGATGAATCAGACACTGGCTCAAGTTCAGGTAAACCATGCTTATATTTCATTCTATCTCTTAGCTCAAATTCAACTCCTCTTAGTCGGGAATAAATATGATACACATCCACTCCTACTGCATCAATTAACTCAGAAAGTTCTTTATACAGCTCAATATTAGTTGAGTGTTTCAATCGCTTACCATTTTGGGTGATGTATATATCAAAAAAATATTTTATTTGTGAGTTTGATCTCGCAACCAGTAATTTTTTCTAATTCATCCGAAATTTCGGAAAAATAATTATGATAATTATGGAATTATAACCTTATAAAATGTCTCATGAACTGTGCAAACAGCTTTCCGATCATGGCTGAAGATAAACAGCTAATATGGGAATTAATTATAGACAGGAAAAAATAACAGATATAGTAATGAAGAATACCAATATTTATTTAGAACAAGGCATAATTATAAGGGTGGAAAATTCATTCATATAGTATGGATGAATATGGTGATGCAAAGTGATATATGAATTATATGAATCACGATAGTATTGGTTATAAATTCAATTATTATTAAAAAAAATTTATTAGAAAAAATTATTGTCTGGTTTTGCGTTGAAAGCCAAGTTCTTTTTCATCACTTTTTGGACATTGATTGAAAAGTTTTTTCATCAAAGTAATGTTTCTCAAGGTGTTATACCCAAATTAAGAGTTGGAGTTCAAGATTTAATAAACAATAAGAGCAATTTCATAAATTAAACATAAAAATAAATTAATTAAAAAAATATTCCTTAGCAAGCTTTTTCTTATGTAAAATTTATGGCTTTACGTGAAAAAAACTTTTAGATATAATTCTAAGTGCTGTGATTTTCAACCATGTTATAATAGACTAACATGAGAAGCACAAGAACCTTTCTTTATTTTTCTAAGGTTAAATAATCACAACGTTTTTTCCTCAAAGAATATATCCTTCATCCACTACCACATCTGAAATCAGTGCTTCTCCCACTGAGATGATTGTTCCAGCTGTAACTGAAGCTGTTGGCGGAACATCTGACGAAATTTCCGATGCTTCTGGTGAAGATATTTTATATACTTTCATTTTTATACTTATATTTTCCATTTTTATAGGTAAAAAAAGAAAAACAGGAGAAACTCTTTCACAAAATACAAAGTGTAGCAAGAGAATTAAGCAACCATTGTTGCTAATATTATCAAAATTTAATAAAAAAATTACATGTTACAGTCGGCGCTCAATATAGTGAACCTACTATATAGTGAGTGAATCATACGATATAATGAAGTCGGGAGATTTCGTTATATATAAATTCAGCTCGATATAATGATTTTTAATATAAAATCTATATAATGATACAGTGAAGCTCTTTTGCCAAAAATCAATTCTTCTTTACATCGAACGCTGACTGTAATAGTAATGTATTTTCCGTGTGTTTTCCATATGTTTTCAGTACAAAATTTTTTTATAGTAATAGGGCAAGTTATAGTTAACAAATAAAATATCCTATAAGAAAAGAAATATCATTTTTATTTACGAATTTTATCAGTTACTTAATATTAATAATGAAAAGGTTCATTTTTATTTTCGACTTTACCAGCTACTTAATAATATTCCGTTTTAATTACACATTTACAAATATCCCTATATTTATTATGGGGGAAATCCAGACCGCTTAATCAACTGGCTGCTGCCTTATTATTATAAACTAGATATTTACATGTCAATTTTTCAAAATTTATCAGAATATCTTTCTGTTGGATTCTCTTTCATAGTTATATTATCTAATTCGAAATTATAAATAAGCCTCCCTCTACAAAATTTCTTTTGTTCTTTGTTTTCATTGACTGATTGTAAAAAATGATTTTTTTTATTTTCTTTGTCAGAAATAGAAGCAGTTTGAAAAGCAGAATGAGCAATACTATCCATTTCATTTAAGTACTATTTCTCTTCTGCCTTTGTTATTAACTTACAGTCATCACCTTTTATATCCCCCTCTTAATCTCGTCTTCATTTATATCCCGCATCTGAACAGTTAATATACTCAGTTATATCCCCACAAAATTTGAAAAACAAAATATAATAATATTTATTTTTCAAAATTAAGTAGTATATAACAAATTTGTATTTTTGACACACAACATTCCTTTTTGTGGTATCTTAAAATTTGATTTTTTTTTTTTTTCTTAATTGTTTGTTTCTCTTGGGAATTTGGTATCTTTAATTTCTCCTACAGTAAAATATTGAATATAATATAAATGATTGCATTAGACTGGAATAAAAAGTAAGTCCGAATGCACCTTTACATATAATGAATTTTTAATCCAGCTAAAACTTTATGTTATCCACCCTTATCATCCTCATTATTGATCCCTTGATTTGGGACTTTGAATAATGAATTAGCTTCAAAAACACAACGATACAATCAACACCAAAAAGAATTTATCAAACTTTTATTTCAAAAAATGAAATTTGGTATTGCTCATTTTGCATCCAACATTCGACCTTGAGAAATATCAACTTTTGACATCAGGAAAATTATGGATTATATTAATTATTCAATTATAAAAATGTATGATTCCGAATTTGAAAGAAATTAAACAAATTTATTAGAAATAATAAACAAATAAATTATTAATAATGAAGGCAATGAAAATAATTAATTATCTACCATCAACAATTCACCCAATTTTCCAATTTTAACCTTATCAACTAATTATTATCATCATTATAATTAATTAACTATTTAATTTCCTTGTTAAAATTATATTTCATTAATATCAAGGTCACTTAATAAACTATCATTACTTTTTAAATTTTTTAAATTCAATTTAGCAAATTCATCATTTACATCATTTAATATTTGACTTGTATGACATGCTAATGGATGTGATTTGTGAATTTGTTGTGAATTACTGCTATTACCACCACAACCACTGCTAATTTCATTAAAATTTTTTGCTTCATAAATTTCCTTTGATTTATCACGAGCAAATTTCCAAAGCTCTCCAATGGTTGGTCTCTTGGTTGGATCCACATCCCAACACCTTTGCATCATTTGTGCATAATCACCAGGCATTCCTGGTAATATTGGTGGATGTAAACCTTCACATATTCTTAATTGCAAACAAAAATCATGTGCTTCATCATCAAATGGTGGATGTCCTGAAAATATCTCCCACATTAACATCCCAACACTATAAACATCAGTTTCTTTTGTGTGATTTTTTCCTCTAAATAGTTCTGGTGCAATATAAGATACAATTCCATAAATTTTATTTGATAATTTTTCATCAACTGGTCCACATAACCCAAAATCTGTGATATAACATTTACCTCCTTGCATTAATATATTACCACTATGTAAATCACAATGAATTAAACCTTCCTTATGTATATGATATAATGCTTCACATAAATATTTAAAAATATTAATTCTATCTTTTGATGTTAAATTATAATGATTTTTTTGTATATAATCTCTTAAATTTCCCTCTTTTACATAACCAAGAACTATTGCATAATTTCCATTTTCTGGGAATTTAGTTATACCATAACAAGGAATAATTACGTTTGATTTGATTTTACAATAATTCAATGCCTGAAATTAATTATATAAATAAATCAATTAATTTAAAATAAAATAAATGGTTGGTTTTAATTTAAATAAGAACAATTACCTCATCAAAAAAAGGTTTTCCTGGATTACTTGAATTATTTAATGATTTTAATA